TCAAAAGAGAAGAAGGAGAATTGGTAATAGACAATTCTGGAAGATAGAACACAGTGTTGTATATGCAAGGACTTTCTAGTTGTTGCTTATAATCAGGTATGTTATGTAGCTGGCTTCATTTTATTCTCCATAGCCCTAATAGGTAGATACAACCATTATATCTCATATTAGTTTTATATTTATATTTATGACCAAAATTCCTGATAGATACAACTTAATAGATGTAAGATTTATTTTTACTCATGGTTTGGAGGGTTACAGTCCATCACAGAGAAGGCATGGTGGGATTCATGGCAGCAGAGCTATTTGGTAGAGACCCCTCCCATCATGGCAGATCAGGAAGCAGAGTGTAGCCAGAACTAGGGACCAGGCCTTCAGAGGTTCTCTAACGTGACCTACTTCAACCAGCTAGGCCCCACCTCCTAAAGGCTCCCCAGTGCCACCCCCTTTCCTCAGTGGTACCTCGAACTGGGGGAGTGTTCAAAGCATGAGTCTGGAGGACACAGTTCCCCTTCAAGCCACAGCACCTCTTCTTGACAGATGAGAAAGCCATAGCTCATGGTCACAGAGCTCAGCCAAGTTACAAGCCTTAGCCACAGCTACTCCCTACTACCCCCTTGTGTACAAGTTAAAGTCTAGGATATGTAAATCCTGGAGTACTGCCAGACAGAGTAAGTGCTGCTGCCTGTGTGGACACTTACTGGAATCTTTGGGAATCCTGGCATTTCTCACTGTGGTGGTTTTCTTAGTTTCTTGTGACTGAGAAAGAAGTACCATCAATTTGATGCCTTCGAATGACACATTCATCTGCTCATAGCTTGGAGGTCCGAAGTCTTCAGTCTGTTTCACTTGGTTGCAATCAAGGTGTTGACAAGGGCAGGAACAAACTCCCTCCAGAGGCTTCAGGGGAAAATTCATTCCTTGCTTCTTCCTACTTCTGACAGCTCTCACTTGTCCTGGCTTTAGGCTGCATCCCTCTGATCTGGACCTCCTTAATCCCTTCAGCCCCTCTTCCTGTCTCTTACAAAAGATCCTGTGATTCCATGCAGAGCTCCTCCCAGCCAGTTTGTTTAGAATAACCTCCCCATATCCAGGTCATTAATTTATTCACATCATTTGCATGTAAGATAATACTAATTTTCCAGGCATTGGGTAGTATATATCTGTGGGGGTCATTGTTTAGCCTGTCCCAATGGTATTTTGCATAGACAGAATGACCTCATCTTTTTCTTTACACTATTAGAAAATAACTTTATGGCATTGAATGGCTTAATGATAAACTATAATATCTACCTATTCTTTGAGGTCTCTTTTTCTGAAAACAACAGATTTTAAATAAGGCATGGGTTAAAGGAAGTAATTATTGTCAACTAGCCATAGTCAAATACTATTATTATGTTACTGAATAATGATTTCTTTGTTCCATGGATTTAAAATTCAGCTTTCATTTCTTACCTTCACATGACAAACTATAGTCAGATTGTTTCTCAACTACATTCAATTTCACCAGCCTGTTTTGCAGGTTCTGCAGTATGAGGCTCTTTTGGTTACTGTAACACTGAAGTGTTGTGCTCTTCTAACCAACTAACAAGATTCTTCCTATCCCTCTGTTTTTCTGCCCAATGGCCCTTCTACTGTTTTCTTTATCACTGGGTATTTCAATTGTGTGGGGGTGCAGTTATGCACATTGTAACCAGCACTCAGGATGTTGAGGAGGGAGGCTGTAGTCTGGCCTCTGCTACAGAGTGAGATACTATCTCTAAACAGACATTCGTCATCGATCAACAATACCAAAAATCCCCAGTTCTTATTATCAATTTAACATGGTATTTCAAAGAAGAGGCATTCTGGGATTGTCTACTTGACAAAATGGTTCTTTCAGCCTTGTTTATTATTATTAATTATTATGATTATAATTTTGCTTATACATCTCCATCGAGTCTTTCTTACTTTTTTAAATATAGAAATCTAATTCCAGACAACTGTATTTTAAAAACAAATGGATGGTGGTTAGTAGGTTGGAAGGTGGAATAGACAGTGTAAGAGATTAATAATAATAACCAATAAGAAAACAGAATAACTTATAACCAAATACTCTATCAAAACAATGTGAATTGGAAACCCTCCCCCCTATTATTTTACAGGTAAATGAAATGGGTAGCAGGTGATGCTGCAGATTAGGGGAATACTGCATATCTAATCATTTGACTCTCATCTTTCAAAATGTTTAGTAATTAAATGTTATAACCATGCTATCAATTCTGTACTCAAACTTATATTTTACCTGGCTTCATTCTGCACCACATTTTCTTACATAACACCCTCTCCTTGTGTGAATTCATCTTCCTGGCCTATTTTTTCCTTTGCTTAGCAGAGAGTCTTAAGTTATGTCCAGAAACTTTTCTTAATAGTGTTCCAGTGATGTCATGTCTCTATTTTGTCATCACAGACAGGGAAACGCTAGTCTGACAGCTGATGAGGTTTCTCTACATTCCCTTGGAGTAGCCTATAAGCACAGGTGTATCTCTGAGCTCCATTTCGGACAGGGAATAGAAAGCCATTCTGATTTTATTTTATTTAAGCAGCAGGTCCTCCTCCCCTATTATTATGCTTGCTGTTGTGTCTTTCAATTCTTGGGGTTCTGCATCTATGAATGTGTGTGCTTGCTCAATGACCCTGCTTCTGGCACGCCTTGTGATCTACACCCTAGTTTTCAGCTCAAGGGAATAGCCCTTTGCTTCCATGTTTCTGCCTCTCCCCCAACACACCCTTTTTATTTTTAAATTTTAATTAGAAACAAGGTTGCTTCACATGTCAATCTGGGATTCCTCTCCCTCTCCCTTCCCTCCTCCCATGCCCTCCCACCAACCTCCCCCCCTCTTCCTCTCCTCCAATTCCCACTCCTTTCCTCAGGGAGGCCTTCCATGGGGGATATCCATAGTCTGTCTTTTCATCCAGGGCAGGGCCTAGGCCCTCCCCGAAGAGTCCAGGCTGAGAGAGCAGCTCTCATTGTGGGATGGGAACCCAAAGTCCATTTGTATGCCAGGGATAAATACTGATCTACTACCCAAGGCCCCATAGATTGTCTAGGCCACCTCGCTGACACCCACATTCAGGGAGTCTGGATCAGTCCCAAGCTGGATTCCCAACCATCAGTCTGGTGTTCAAGAGCTCCCCTTGTTCAGGTCAACTTTTTCTGGGGGTTAAACCAGCCCAGTCTTAACCCCTTTGCTCATCAGTCTCTGTCACTGGGTTCCTTGAGTTCAGCTCAGTGTTTAGCAGTGGGTGTCTGCCTCTGCTTCTGTTTCCCAGACTCTCTGGCAGTGGGATTGTAGGCTGGCACTCCCTTGATCCATGTCTAAAATCCATATATAAGTGAATACATACCATGTTTCTTTTTTTTGTGACTGGGTTATCTCATTCAGGATGGATTCTTCTAGTGCCATCCATTGGCCTGCAAATTTCAGGATTCCATTGTTTTTTTTTTCTGCTGAACAGTACTCCATTGTGTAAATGTACCACATTTTCTCTATCCACTCTTCAGTTGAGGGGCATCTAGGTTGCTTCCAGGCTTTGACTATTACAAATAATGCTGCTATGAACATAGTGGAACAGATGTCCTTGTTGTATGAATGTGTATCTTTTGGATATATGTCTAAGAGAGGAATTGCTGGGTCTTGTGGTAGACTGATTCCCATTTTCCTGAGGAATCTCCATATTAATTTCCAACGTGTCTGCCTCCCCTTCTTGGTGCTGCTGTTCCTTCAAAATTCCTGAAGTCTATCTTCCTTGGTGTGTGTGTGTGTGTGTGTGTGTGTGTGGACTGTTTTTAGTAGCACCCCAAGAAAGCTGCAGCCCTGCTCTTCCTCACCTCTAGTTTCTACTTATATTAGAAACTCGCCTATCACTTTCCAAAAACGCTGTGAAAAAAGAAGATTCTGTGTCTAGCCGTTCTGTCTTTAATGATTGGCCCTGGTCCCCATGACCTGGATTTGCCTCTGTGTCTCTTCCTACCCATAACCTGCTCCAGTCTCCATCTGCCGAGCCCCAACTTTCTAGGGCCCTTTTCTGGGAACTGCAATGACTTCTTCAAGGTCTGTGCAGGATTTGCATCAACCTTCCAGCCCCTTGTCTCATGACTCAGTTTTCATTTTACACTTTATATCTTGATGGCATGATTCTTCAGTTCCCACACTGACATTTGGTGGCTCTTTGGGGGGACAATGAATAGGAGAACATGTAGCAGAACTCTTTATCATTCACCAAACCAATGGCCTAGGAGTTAGGGGAGGAATCTGGAGCTTCTGCCCTGTGAGTGGCCGGACCACTACAGAGACAGGATTGTAGTCTTCAGCATGCACTAAGGTTAAGTTAATATGTCCTCTCTCCCCCGTGAGTGGGTGAGAGCTGTGCCCTTAAAAGAGAGAGGGGGTGGGCCCAGACCTTCTGGATGCCTGACAACTTAGTCATATTATGATTCTTCCTTGGTGCTGTGTGTTAGAGTCAGAAAATAAAAATCTTGTTTTCTGGAGCCTTCCTGATTTTTTTTTTATGTGAAGAAATAATTGTTTGGTAGGGAATACTTCTCTAAATCTTTCAACAGGGATAGAGACATCTTTCTTCTCAACATGTGTCTCCTCTTTCTCCAACACCACAGAGACAGACACTCCAGCCTCCTCCCAGAGGCCCCCTCCCCCAGGCCTGGGTAGAAGAGAGGCTATGAGAAGAATGACAGGCTCCCTGTGGTAGGTCTGTGCCTTGTCACCAAGCCTCCTAAGCTCAGGTCTGTGGTGGCCACAGGAGAGCCAGCTCCATGCTGTGTGCCTGGTGACATTTCCGGCTGCCAGTGCCCAACCAATCAGTGACAGACTCAGCTAGCTAGGGCGATGACACATGAAATATGGTAATTTTCTCTAAAGAGCTCTGGGAGGAGAGAGGTTGGGGGAGTGGTTTTGGCTGGGAGGGTGAAGCAGACAAGGCCAGGTAAGACAGAACCAGGCATTGGTTTCAGAAGTCTGTCTGGCAGGACCGGGAGAGGGAATCAGAGCTGAGACTAGAGCTGGAGGGACCTGTCCTGGAGCGGCCCTAGGGATGCTGAGATGGAGGGGAGCCTGCTGATGGCAAGGAGCCAGGGCAGAACCAGCAGTGCCAGGGTAAAGCTCTGAGGCTCTTAGGTGGGAGACGTTTGCCTTCCTTTCCAACAGGAGTAAAGTCACTTTTGTTTTTCTCAGTGGTACCTCTTCAAAAGCTAAAACAAAACTAGAACAGATGTCATCTGCATGACTGAAGTTGGCAAGGGTGTTTCAGGCTGGAGGAGGTTTATCCCTCTGCCCTGTTTGTTGTTTAATCTTCATGATCCACTTTGTCCCACCCCCCCCAATAAAAAAAAGAGTTAGAAACCTTGCTAACCTTCTTGTGAAGAGCCCAAATCAGAATTGTCAGACACTGAAGGCCATGCGGCGGTTTCGATTTCTGATCGAAGCAGAAGAAAACTAGAACAGGATCTGTGCCTGAGTCTCAATCAAGGTGGGTCAGAAATGGGGCCAGAACCATCCTTGGGTTGAGAACACCTTCTAGTTCCCTGGGACTACAGGGCAAGGCAGGGCAGCATGCCAGCGGTTAAGCCCTGGGGGCAGCACAGGTATGTGTCACTGCCTTCAGCCACATGGCTGGATTTCTGTCCCTTAGTCAGCAATAAAGGATCCCAGAGGGGTGACTCCTGTGTTGACAAGTCTGCTGATAGTCTGACCCTTGAAATGAATGTTTAGAAATGTTCATATGCAATGCTGTTTGTCATGGGAAGTCCAGCGTTCTGTGTTTGCATGTTTCTACCACGTATAATGTATTATCCATGTGTGCAGATATAGGAATGGGATCGGTCAATAAACATTGTCACTGCCTGCAATTCTGCTCTGTGTAGCTATAGGCCCGCACTGTCTTCTTCCAGTACTCCCAGTCTTGCTATTCAAGTGATAATTGGTGTACTGTGTCTTTAAAAGGTTAAAACCTCTTTTTAAAAGAAGGCCTGGACTCCTAGTGGAAAAGACAAGCTGGGCATGGGTTGGCTCTGGATTCAGAAAGCAGCTGCTGATTAGATTCTGTGTCTGTGGGCTGAATTTATTCCGTCTTTCCAGCAGGAATTCAAGAGGGAAGCTTCTGTTTGGGTTTCTGATCGTGATTTATATTTATTCAGAGGAATAACAGAGGGTGGATCTGTTCCCGGTGCGAGCATGCTCACCACCAGCCGACTCTCCCATTATCCCCCTGCCTAGTTTGGTGCTCCAGTGTACACGAGTATTTCGTGTGCATATGTGTGTATACAAACACACATGCACGCCTGGACGAATAGACGTATGCACGGGTTATTTCTTAAGGACAATTCCTTCAATAAGGTCTCTACCCCTTACTTGAAACAGGTGTTCATGAAAAAAAAAATGCACAATATCCCGACTGACCGGAATAATTGATGAAGAAGGGTGCTGGATCCGTGGGTCAGAGAACACACAGGACCAGCTTGCCACCCCAAGGCCGAAGGTAGGGGACTCTGGGTTTTTATTCCGCGGATGGATTCCTTGCGCCTTATTTTTCCTTGATTGTGTTTTCGCCCGTGGCTGCCACCGGGAAGTGCTACCGCGCTGCGATTCCATTTTGTTGCTGCCTTTCTCACGCCAGGTGTCGGGAGGGCTGCTGTGGCAGTGGCGAGGCTGGCAGGGTGGCCGCGGTGCGTGGTGGGCTGCGTGCTCGGCCTGGCTGGGGGAGCGCGAACCTCAAGTGACCCCCGCGCGTCAATCACTCGCGGCCGCGACTGGGCTGTAACCCTGTGCGCGCCGCGCGTCCCCCGCGATAGCTCACTGGGCAGCACTGCGCGGCAGACCTGGCTCCTGGGCCAGGCAGCCGCTGGAGGATGGGTCAGGCCCCAGAGAGATGTCTGCTGGTGCTTGGTTGAAGGGTGATGTTGGTATGATCCCAGGTCCCAGGACCGAAGGGAGAGAGAGTTTCCTCCCTGCTGCAAGTCCGGCCATCCCTTGAAAATGATTCCATTCCACCGGTCTCAGGGCGGGGGTGGGGCGGGAGAATCAGACCTTGCCAGCCCTCTCTAGAGAGCACACCACACCACACTATACCCAAACTCCTACTGAGGCGGAAGTGGGGGTGGGGTGAGATGGGGGGCAGGAGGGGTGTCTTGCCCTGTCTCTAATAAAGCAGGTACCCCTTCCTAGATGTGTCCCACATTTCAACATATTTTAAAATGGAAACACTGCTGGTGACAAATGGCCCCCAGGAGGTGATGAACCTTAGGACTAGTGGCTGGAACAGAAGTGGTGTAGAGGAACTTGGAGCCTGTATGGACTGTCTTGAAGCTGGATGGTTTCATTTATAATGCTTGTCAGTGTCAGGACCATTTCTGTGACTTGGCCTGCCCTTGAACTTTGGGGACAATGGTTTACAAGAGCCTACTGACCTTGGGGGAGTGGTTCTCATTTTGCTTTGCATCTCGAAATTTCTGGCAGCCCTTGGTTTTGCAAGGCAGTGGCCAGTTGTCTGTTCCCCCAACCCCCCAGGTATCAGGGATGCTTGGATTTCTTAACCCAGGGTTGCCTTCTGTTGCTGGGGGTGGGGGTGGGGACACAGAGAAGAGGTATTTGTTGAACTAACCTCTATACAAGTGTTCTTCAACCCATGTTTATGTGGTTATGTAATCCCAACGAATGATTAGACCCTGTGCCCAAATATTAGCATCAGCCCTTCTGCACTAAAGAAGTTGGGTGTTTCTGTTGTTCATAATATTCTTATGTAAGTGATGAGGACAAGAAGCATGTGGGGACCAGGAAGAATCATTTGAACAACTTGAGGGTAAAGACCACAGGCAAAGAGCAGGTCTCAGCATTGGGTTTGTGTTGTTCTGAGTGAGGTCTTCCCACTGGTTTCTGCCCAGGTGTTCCTTGTCTGAACTTTCTGTTGTAATCTCACCCGTCTCTGTCCCTGGAGAAAGATGTAACTACCTCTGCAGGGTCCCCAGATTCCTAATGCAAAAGGATAAAAGAGACAATGTGTCTAGAGTGGCCACTCAGGTGTCAGCTGTTTCCTCTTGCTTCCAGAGGAAGAGCCAGCTCCAGAAAGGAGTCTGCCTCATTGCCTGTGTCAGTTTTGCACTGGGCTGGGCTATCCTGTGGGGTGGGAAGAAACCCATGTGTTTGGTACCTGCTGCTTGCAGTGGAGACCTACAAGAGCTGGACACCCTTTCCATCCTTGCATTGTGATGCTGGAAGTTTTGCAAGGTAGGAGGATAGCTGTCCTGTGGGGAGCTCTACAGGCAGGAGGGGAGGATGTGTGTGCTACCTGCACTCTCTCCTTCCATCCAACTCTGTAAAGTACCCACAGGCCACAGTGCTCTTAACACAGATCCTCTGGCCATACTCCTTATCCACACCACCTGGGACTGGTGGACAGATTTGTTCAATTGGTTACTAAGTCTGGCCTCTTAAGGTTATGGTTATTTTCTGGTCCTCAATACCCTGGTAACAGCAGTTGGCAGGGTGTGTGGGGGGGGAGGTGGAGGGTTGTTGCCTTAAGGGCTAACTTCTAGTGTGTGCTCTGTGGATCAAGATGTGCTCAATTGACACCATTGTTAGGATGTCTCTGCCCATTGTTACAGCAGTGGCCACTGTTCTCAGTGTTGGCTGCTCTTGGACTACTGCCAAGTGAGCAAGGAAGGCATTTAGTAATGCTAAAGGTGCAGGCAAGGGGAGATACATTAAATCTGAAGTCCTGGGAGATTCTAGGATCTGGCTTGATGGAAGATAGCATTAAGAAAAGTGTGTGACAACTAGATAGCTTTCAACTTGTCTCTCTTCCTGCTCAGCAAGTTCCCTGGTGTCTTTCAGGTTTTTTTTTCCTGCCCATCAAGGAGGCCTTGACAGGCTGTTTTTCAGTCTATTACCCCAGAGGAGTTAGAGCACATTTTATTGCTCAGGGCAGGTAGGGTAGGAAACCTAGCTACCTGAGCAAGCAGTGTTATTCTTCAACTGCAAAGCCGGTAAAAGCATCATAACCGTGAAAAGAAGATGAGATAGGTTAAAAAGTAACATGTGCTCTACAGCTGGAGGGCACTAGGCTGGTGCCACACAACCTGGACTGCGCAGTCAAGAATGGTAAAGCAGAGAGATGTCACAAGTCTGTAAGCGTGCATTTCACCCTGCCATTTATTGTTGGTGGGAATTTCAGGCCCTCTTTTAAGACCAGCATTTATTTAAAATTCTAAGAGTCTTGCTAAATGCACTTAGCAAATTTGAAGAAATCAATAAAGTTCTATGAAAACATTAGGAAAGTTGTTTTTAATCAAACAGCAATAAGAATTAATAATAATGCTAGGAACAGGATAAACTAAAAAATGTTTAAAGGCTATAAAAATTCAAAATACGGACTTCTAAGATTAGTGAAAGTATGTAAGCAATTCAATGAAATATTATATATTTTATTTTGTTGCATCTTTGACCCATACCTTCTTGTTAAGCCGGGCGTAGGTGGCACACACCTTTAGCAGGAGGCAGGTGGATCTCTGTGAGTTCAAGGCCAGCCTGGTCTACAGAGTAAGTTCCAGGATAGCCTCCAAAACAATACAGAGAAACCCTGTCTTGAAAACCCAAAAACAAAAACAACCCCCCCAAAAAAACAAAAAACAAAAAAAAAAAACCTTGTTTAAGAAGGCAGGTAATCAGGAGTCCAAATCAACTGAGTTGTGGTTGGATTTTTGTTTGTTTAGCATGTGGTTAGAGAGAAAAGTGCAGCTATTTAAGAAGCTACCCTGCCTCCCAATGCCTTCTAAAGTTTCTGGATAGCCAGGGCTTGCAGATCATAGTACAGCTATGAAGCCCTGCTGGGAACTTGGTGCACTTCAGCTGGCATTTAACAGGGCTGTACCATACATCGGTAGAGAAGTTTTGTTTTAACAATTGACAGTACAAAGTACCCTGAGAAAATGATTCTGGAACTTTCATGCATCTTCTTGAGGCCAGAGACACACTCCAGCCTTCTAGCCCAGTGACATTATGTTACAGTTGAAGGAAGATTGATGATAGAATCAGGATAGAAGAGCTGGACTCTGGTGGCTTAGTTTCTTATGCCTGTAGGGAATGCAGGTTGACCACTGCCAGTGTACTGATCCATTGGATAACCGAGTTCAGGATGTTCTGACCACACCCCAGGGCTAGTGATGGCCATTACTCAGTTCAGACATTATGCTCAGCCCTGGAAGGATGTCTGACTTATGTGAGCAAACTCAGAGCCCAACCCTCAGTCGGTTTGCTCAGTTACAATTCTTCAAAACAAAAGCAACAGGAAAAACACAAGTAGCAGAAAAATAAGGTCCATGCTTTTTGAAAGAGCATTTTTTTTTCCAATCTGGTCCATCTATGGAGAATGTGAAGACATAACTGAAGGCAAAGGAACAGTATTGCTTGAGGTCTGAATGCATACATGTGTTGTTTAGATTACTTATCTGAAAGAAAAATGTCCATTTCAGGTTGTTGAATATACTCAGAAATGTTCAGAGTTATTTAAAGTTTCCATGTCTTTAATGGAAGGAGAATTCTTGTAATGAGTTGGAGAGAAGCAATTCCAAGAAATCCGAAGGTGGGTGGGAAGGTAGAGGACAGGAGCTGGTGATGTGGAGTGACTGACGTCCCCTATCCAGAGGGCTGTCCTTTTGGGTCATATAGTAGAACTTACACATGAGAGGGGCCTCCTCCCATCACTACTAAGTGTTACTGAAAGCCAGGTGTAGTTGAAACTCTTGTGAACAGAGAAGTAAGGATGAGCTTAACTTCTAAACAGTTGAGGCCATCAAATTTAAGAAGTGAAACAGGGAGAAGTATAGGGACCTTGGGATCTCTCTGAATATCCATGGCCCTTGCAATGGGAGTTCAGTGCCAACTTGGAACAAGAAAGCCATGGATGCATAGCTAGATCCAAAGAAAAGCCAGTGAAAGAATAATGGGCGCAATAAATGAATGCGCCATATAATAGAAATGCATGAATGAGGGGCTCTGAAATGGCTCAGTTGGTAAAGTATTAGCAAGCATGAGGATCTGAGTTCAATTCCCAGATGTAGTTAAAAAACAAAGTCAGGCAGGCTTGGTGCAGGGGACTTAAAGTCTCAGTCCTGGGGAGACAGAGACAGGGGGGATCCCTTGTGCTCACTGGTCAGCCAGCCTAGGCTACAGGTACCTAAGGAATGGCATTTGAAGTTGTCCCCTGGCCTCCACATATATTCTGCATACATACATATGCACACATACACATGAACATGTACACGTATACACAAACACATGTGCACACATATACAAACACATGCATATATACACATTAAAAATAACATGATATGCCTGGTTGAATAAGTCATTTCAGTCTCTTTGGTCATTTGCTGGATTTCCAGGCTCAACACGGGATAGCGAATCTAATGAATCCTAATAAAAACCAAATACCTTTGACAGAGGAGGGCTTCGAAAAGTTCCTTAATATCCAATGTAATAGAT